CACTGTTGCTCTAATAAATGTTCAAATAAATATTTTCTAGTCCTATGTTGTGGTATTATGTTCATCTTTAAGCCATTCCAGATACCTTCTATTGTATTAGTATGAATATCAGTACCTTTTATTTTAAAAATTTTTTTATGATTAACTTTATTATGAATATAATTATTATCTTTTAAATCAATATACCCTTTCCAAAAATCTGTTATAATTCTTGTTTCTGGTTTAACATATTTTTTTATTTGATATAATAATGTCTCTTTATTACATTTTTCAACAGGAATAGTAAATATTTTTTTTGTACCTCTCTGAATACCACCAAGAACCTATATTCCATTTACATGATGACCTCTATTATACTTTCTTTTACAAAAATACAATTCATCTATCTCAACACTTTCATTTTTACCACCTAATAAGTTATTTTTTATATTATCAACTGCATAGATTGAAAGTTGTTCTCTAAATTTTTTATAATAATAAGTTGTTGTAATATATATAATACCAATAGTAACAGCAGCACTATCTCGTAATGTTTTTTTTCAAAAATTCATATAATAGAAATAAAATTTTATTAATTAGTAACTTTACATTATAAAATATTGTATCTTGAAAAATTGATAATGATTTCTTACATTGATACCATAAACAATGATATCTTTTCTGCTTATTTCCATAATGTACTTTATTACTACACTTTGGATATTTTTCATATTTTCTTAATATATTCATTTTTAATAGATAATTAATTGCTTCTTCTTCATCTAAAAAATAAGGATATAATTCATATAATGATGGCAATTTTATTGTTGTATATAATTTTTTATTTACCTCTTGTTCATAAAAGTAGTTTTTATTATCTTCTTTTTTTTCTTCTTTATTTTTTTCCTTTATGATTTTATGCATAATAATATTATGATGTTTATTTTTATAATTAAAAAAAATTCAATTTTGAAGAAATAAATTTATTAATTAACTTTAGCAGAGTTTTAAATGTCTCTATATTCTTTCTTTAATCCAGAGTGCCTTTGCTGCCAGCACCACCCGCGCAGGCCGAAGTAGCATCGATACCACCTGGTGACCAGTAAATCGCACAGTCTTTAGGATCACAATCGGCATCGCACGTACCAGATTCTATAGTGGCTGGCCATTCAACAACTTCATCAGTACCTACTATGGCAGCTACTACGCCAGCAGTAGCCTCTTCAAGCGCAGCAGCAACAGTACCTTCTGCAACCGCACTAACTACAACTGCGTCAGGTATAGGACATTTCTTTTTGTTTAGTTAATAATTGTTGTCATCAATACACTTGTTTATCATTTGAATATGTGTTTTAGGACGAGCTAATTGGACGAGTGAAGATATAAAGAAACTTGCCAAGGCAGTAGCAGAAAGGAAGCAGCGGTTTTTTGCAAACAAGTCGTCGACCGCTGCAACTATCAGCCAGACTATATTTGCCGCATCTTACACACAACAACAAGTACTCACCAAGGTAGATTGGTTGCGAGACAAATAGGAGAAGGACACGAGAGAAAAAAATCTCCAGTCTGGTCAAGGTGTTCCTGGTGATGCAGCCATTGCACAAGAAAGTTGCTATATGCCGATACAATCGTAAACGAATAGCAGCTTGACCATGCACATCGAAATCTTGCGAGCATCGAAAAAGGAAAGAGTAGCTGAACTTTCTTCGTAGTTCTGTTCAGTATGCTTCGTAGTAATAGTATCTGTCAACAGCCTAGATACGATCGCAGATATTGATCACAAGTTGCGAATCTGACAACGCCAACATATCATCATCAAGTTGTACATATGCGTCGAGGCTGTAATCTTCGAGACTATCGGCTACATTCCTCAAACTTTGACATGAAGGAATCATGTTGAGTACTTCATCTATTATCAGGAGTAACTGCTCTACAATTGGTTTACCGACGTCACTTTGGCGGTCATAGCATTTTCTACACGTGTTGTAATCTTGTCTATTGCCAACAAAAAATAGCAAAGGGCGATAAGATTTACAATTACTGCATCTTTTCAATTGAGGTTGCTTGGGTGTTTCTAGGGATTAGATTTGTTGCTGATTTTGCAGTTCCATTTTGAGGAAGAAGTTAAAAAACCCAAAACTACCCAAAACTGAAAAACAGATTTTGGTTCGGTTATATGATTAACCGTTCGGAGAAAGTAATTTCCGAAATCCGTTTCCGTGATTTTTTGGAAACAGCTAGGGCTAGTCTATGGCACCTATATATCACAGCGCTTTGTACAACCACAAGTAGTAAACCCCTTCTCTATCTTGTATATGTACTAAGGTTCAGCAGAGAGCTTTACTTCTTTTGCAGCATTTGCAGCCATTTGTTAAAAGGTCCATCTTACCTATTTGGAGAAAAAAAAAGAAACTTATACTTCAATTCTGTTTTCTTAATAAATTAAATAGTTGTCATTCATTTTTCTCTCTCTTTTATTTTATTGTGAAGAAATATGGCAAAGCTTGCCACTGTATGTGCTGGATTTGTAAATATTAACTTGCCATGGCAGATGTACTGATGTAAAAAAAAAACCAAGATGTTTACCACTAAGTAAGGAAAATTACATATACACACCTCCCCCCAAATCTCCTATTTCATTCCAATCAGCCACCATCCTCTATATTTTTTCAAACTCAACCGGGAGGAAATAAGGGGATGCCTATATTACACCCTTAAGAAAATTTATAGTTTCAAACACAAAATGCTGTAGTAGCTGAGGGACATTGGTTGAGAATGTAAATAAGTGCTGTTGGATAGAATGTTTTAGAGTGGGCAGTATGGATGTCACTTTCTAAGTAAGCGTCATTGCATAGACGTCGCTTTTTAAGTAGGCGTCGGTGCATGAGTAATTTGGAGTACCCGGCAAGACGTCGCTTTATAAGTAGGCGTTATTGCATGGAGTTCTTAGAGTAGGCGCGTGGACGTCCCTTTTTAAGTAGGCGTCAATGCATGGAGCTCTTAGAGTAGGCGCATGGACGTCCCTTTTTAAGTAGCCGTCGGTGCATGAGTCATCTGGAGTACGCGGCAAGACGTCGCTTTATAAGTAAGCACGCTCGCATGGGGTTTCTCTATATAGGCGCACGGACGTCGGTAACGTGCAAAACAGGCGGTTTTGAACGGGTTAATTATTTTGAGAGGAGAGAAAGCATTTTTCATTATTATTGACTAAAAAATATGTGAATTTGTTTTTATAAATATGTTTTTTTAATTTTTTAATTTTTTTTAAAATGTGTGAAAAAATATCGTAATTTGTCTTTATAAACGTTTTACAATTAAAATGTTTTAACTTTTTAAGCATTCATTTTTTAACGTTTCACAAGTGAAATTAACGGGGGAAATGCAAAATCAATTTATTAGTTTTTGGCTTTTGCATGTACAGCAATGGTCCAAAATTGTATAAACATTTAAAACGTTAATGAAATTTCAGTGTCATATAGAAAGTGTATTGCGGTTGTTTGTGCTGGAATACGACTTTGGGTGGCCTACGGTGCAACGAGTGGTATTGTATGCGCGCAGACATCGCTTTGTTAACTTTGAGGCAGAATATTACTAAAATGAGGCACAGCAGTTGTATTGATACAGCACTGAGTCAGGAATTCTGAAGTGTTCAGTGCTGTGATGAGTTTAGTGTGACTTGACGCCAGACCAAGCAAATATAGAGCCCAGCCATATATCCATTGAGTGTACCTTATGCCTTATGGACAGCAAAGAAGGATTCAGGAGTGTGGTGTCTGTTTACTCAGACATCACCCCACCACAATCAGCTATAAAGGCTTCCAGTTAACCCCTCAACTTCTCAAGAATTTACCTCTCATCAGCACTACTGTTCTACACACAATAGTTCATCTTGCTTCATCCACCGTTGCCTCAATATTTCCCCCACATCTCAATTGTTGCATCATCTTTGATTAGATGCTATTGAAGCAGTACTAGGACCAGTGCTACACCGAACTTAAATCACTCTATTTTACTACTACTAATAGAGTGATAAGAGTAGGCATATATATAGGGGATGGTAGAAAACAGAATAAAACAGCTTATCCATACTATGCTTAGAGATAGATAGTAATTACAACAACTGCTTAGCAGTGAGATAGGGATATATAGTATTGACGAAACTAATTGAAGATAAAGACATTGATTACTTAAGCTGAAGCTACAGCATTTTGCGTTTAAAACTATAAAATTTTCAGGGGGTGTAATATAGAGATGAACACCGGTGCGAAATACTGTATTTGATTGGTTGGAGAATAGAAATGATTCATGATAAACAGACTCTCCCTGGTGAGAAATTAAGGGTGTCTAATGGGTCACTTCCTTTTTTTCTATGGGTGATAGATGCTGTCTAAGAACGCATCAGGCTTATTTTCATAGTATTAATCAATCTTATATTCATTTCATTAAACACAGGTTTTGCCTCACAGCTAACTTCCTTTTCCCCATAGGCGACGGAGGGCATTCAACAGTGCACCATGTTTGCTTCCCCGACACCAATCGAGCTTTTTCATCTATAACAACAAGACATTCAATAAACAGTGTGACATATTCCACTAGTACGCAGCCAATTTTTAGAGCTTCAAAATCTATTTTGTGACAAGGCTTTCTGAATCTACAGTGGATCAATTCCTTCCTACATCTCATTCTTTTTTTTTCGTCCAATAGATAAACTCGCATAGCTGGCCATACCAGCTGTACTGCCATAGTTCAAGCGTAAAGACTGAAAAGCGAGTGCGTTTTTGCCATAGGTATCTAGACTCTTCAAAGGGCATCATTTTTTACTTGAATATAATATTTCTTAGCACAGAGAAAAAAAAGTTTGACATTAGTATAACTAGTGTAGAAGGACAGGTGCATAGTGAAAGAGTGGAATGGAAAAAAATAAGTTGACATAGGTACGACTAGCGTGCATGAAGAAAGAAGTGGAAAAGGAGGGCATAAAAAAGGAGTGTAATGGGTACAGAAAAAACATAATAGCATTCCTACTGGATTTGCTCTTTTGCTAAGCAGCGATCGATATACGACTTGGCTTTGCTCACCCAACGAATACATTCTGCAGCTGTGATCGTCTCCGCGGCTTCCTTAATATGGCTTGCCAAGCTATCTTCATCCGTCAAAGGCGTTCGTCGTATGCGCGATTGGATGGCCTCCCAACATGGATGGCACGGGTCAAGGAATGTAGAATTGTTGGGCATGTAAAGTGGGAAATGGCCTGCATTCCGTACCGCGTTCACAAACGGCCTTTCCCGGAACAAGTGTCTGTTTGCCATGACAACACCGCATCGAAACTCGCCTTGACTGATGGTTTTAACAACCTCACTGGCAAACTGGATTAAGTGGTCTGGAGCAGTGCCTTTTGCCTTGCCGACCTTCTCTATCAGTCGCTGGTGGTGGTGTAGGGAGGGACTGGTGGTAGTACAAGCGTGAATGCAACTGTTTGCTGGATTTGCTCCTTGACAGTTTTTTGACTAATTTTTAAACCTTTTAAATTTGTAGTATTAGTATGATAAAACGAGTATTCAAGTCATATTGCATGTTGTAATAAATAGCTCACCTTCTAGTTGCTGGCACAGATCATCCTGCGCATCCTTGACTTTTACGACGTTCGCATTTTGGTCAGCTACGCTTTTGACGTAGAGATCCACGATTTGCCTTTGTTCGTCGGTGAGGTCGATCTTGCGCGGTCTCTTTATCTGGTTCTTGGCCTTATAACCTGGAGTCACACTGCTGTCTTCTTTGTGTTGCTTGTACAACTGATGGGCGCGCGAATTACTGATGTTGGTCAATTTGGCTGCTTTTCGCACGGACAGCTTCTTATACTCTACCAAACCGATCATCTTTGCCACCTGATGAGGAGTATACTTGATCAACGTCCACACGTGGTCAGCCGGTGCAATAGGTTCGAACGTTAAATCGTAGTCATCGCTATTATCGCTGCGTGAGATGTCGTCAACAGCCATGGTGTTTTGGCCATTGCCATTGGTGCAGTCAATATCAATAGCAATATTTTGTGCATCATCACTAGAGGTCTAGGTAGTAGCACTGGTTTTGCACAGATAGGTGTTTTTGGTGACTTCGTAGTAGTAGTAGAAAGTGGTAGAGATCATGTTCAATGGAATGGGATGCTGTTGATAGATTGTCTTACTAAATCAATAAAATCTACTGCGTTTATATATGTTCTGGAAATGTGTTTGCATATACATCATGAATATTGTGCTCATATAGCGCATCTATCATTGAGATCTACATATTGATAGAGTGTCCATGCTCTACTGTACAGCTTGATACCACGGTTTTACATCACAAAGTCTACGATTATAGTAAGCACATTATTCCATACAAAAAAAAGAATTAAACAAGTTTTGGCAACAGATATTAAGTGTAGATTTATTAAAAACTAAAATTACGTAGATAGGATAAATGTAAATTTTGAAATCGAACAGAAATAGCTGCATCGCTGTCATACTCTAGGAAATTTTGTTGTTGTTAGTGCCGATATTGCTGCTCAAGCTCCAAAAGGAACCTGTGCCATCTGTGCTATATCTAAGGCACTGTGGCTGTGGACACTTTAATGTATTCGGCTATGCTTTTCATTGTGTGCCCAGCCTGATACAAATGTATCATTGTCCCCCTTTCTTTCAAAGAGATTACCCTGCAACGGCAGTAGGGAGTACCTAGGGGGGCTTGTTGCCTTTCTGGTAGGCGGCCTGTGTAGTTGAACCTTCGGCAGGTATCCCAATCATCGAGAACACCTGGGTTGTCCCACATATACTCCTCATAGAGCTCTAGGTATCCTTATTAATAAATGCAGTTAATATCACCTGGCTAATTAGAGTAATAACAAAAGTATATGTAGCGCTACAATCATACTCTGCATAGTTGGGTCGTTCAATATGCGTTCCCTGATACATTTACTGGTTACTTGACGGTAGGTAATGACGAAAAGTATGTTTATGATATATAGCGACAAAGAAATAAGCGTATAGATAATGTAAAACATATAATGGGCTTGAATGATCAAATTTGCCGAATTTTTACATCGAAATTGCATGAGACACAGCAGGATTTCTTAATGCGAGGTTCCTTAATATTTTGCGGACTGACGATGTGACATCAGAAACAGCGCTAACAGATACTCTGTACTACTAATGAGAAGCTTACAAGGGCATTGTCTGTATGATGCTACATATAGTTGTGCCTCATACTGTGCATAGGAGAGATCGATGATTTCGTCAAAAGGAAATTGGATAGCAGATAGTATAACAAAAAAAATATAATAGGTATGTAGTTATGTAAAAATGTTATCTGAAATCATATTAAACTATATGCAGTAAATACTCGTCGCATGGTCGATCTATCTGTTATGATCGATAAAGAAGTTTTCTGGTTATGTACGTTCTCCTTGAATGGTGGCTACTGTATTGGCATCAGTCGAATATGAAGTTGGTTTTGTTATCTATGATACAGCAGCGAATGTATTGAAGCACTATCTAATTTAATATTATTGAGCTTAAAATAGCTATTAGGTCGGAAAGATACATGCAACCATAGTCTTCTGTTACTATAACATGCTGTCAAAACGAATTACAGCATCAAAGCTCCATGTGGTACTCTGTTGTGTGCTACGAAACAAATCAGGGAAGTAGATCGTATAGAAAACTCCATGGAGCCCAAAAAACATTGAGCTAATCTAAAAGGGGCTAAATGGAGTAAGAATAGCTATAGAATGAGCGAGCATAACGTTGAATGAATGCAAAAAACATGACGAATGAATAGATATAACGAATAACCATAATAATAGAAGCATACATGATCGATGGAACAAGCATCATAATAGTAGTAGAGCGAATGTAGTAAGCAAATCAAACAAATAAAACGAATGTGGCAAGCAAATCTAACGGATGAAACGAACGTGGCAAGCAAATCTAACGAATGAAACGAACGTGGCAAGCAAATCTAACAAATGAAACGAATGTGGTGAGCAAATCTAACAAATGAAACGAACGTGGCAAGCAAATCTAACAAATGAAACGAACGTGGCAAGCAAATCTAACGAATGAAACGAACGTGGCAAGCAAATCTAATAAATGAAACGACCGTAGAGAGCAAATCTAACAAATGAAACAACTGTGGCAAGCAAATCTAACGAATGAAACGAACGTGGCAAGCAAATCTAACAAATGAAACGACCGTGGCGAGCAAATCTAACAAATGAAATGAATGTGGCAAGCAAATCTAACAAATGAAACGAATGTGGCGAGCGAATCTAACAAATTAAATGATCATGGCAAGCAAGCATTACAAAATATAACATACACAGGGGGCAAACATAGCTAATGAAACGCAATAGTAAAAGGAGAGAATGAAGCTAACAAATGCAATAAAGTGTTTAGCAAATAATTAAAAAGCGAAATGAACAGAACGAATGCGTGATCCAATATATTAAACGAGTGAGCACATATATCAAAACGAATGCAACAGATAGTCTGTACAGATAGTCTATTTTAGGAAAAGAATGAACTTAACTAACAGATGTATGAACCATTCGTACAGAGCGAATAAATTAATAAAACGAAATCATTGATCCGACAAACATAATGCATAAATGGTGCGCCATGCAAAGATTATAACACGCCATTATATGTATACTAGCAGAAAATCTATTATGCAAACGATTCAAATCTCCTTTACAGGAGCAGGACTATCGTTTTGCACGGAGAAATTAACCTAAAAGGGAAACAAAAAAAATGAACAGAACAGAGAGAGAAGAATAATCTTCTTAAATAGATACACATATCGAAATAAATCGCCATATTGGACGTACTGGCATATAAAATTATAGTTCAAATGCATTCTAAGCAAACTACATAATAGCCATACAGTTGCACAGAGCGAACTGGCACAGAAAGAACACATACAAGAAAGGAGAAGTGAACAGTCCACTAGTGACTGACATTTGCCAAAAGAAAGGTATACTGATGACAAGAGAGTAATAAATAGAATCTGCTCAACGAGCATATCAATCGTACGTAAATGGTTTTCGAGATGCAATAGCACGCGTGTATCAAATCATGAAAATCTTAAGGTAACAAAAACAGTATGGCATAGACAGTGTATGTAGCAAATCTATCACCCCCTTTTTCATACCATCTGAGCAACCCCTTTGATTGATGATCTGTTTAAATTTTATGGCTTCCATCTTAATCTTATTCATAATGATGTACATATCTCTTTTATCCATAGTTGTAAAAGTCTTCCAGAAATTTTTAGACTCATATTTAACGACCATGTCTGTGCGCATGTAGCACTTGCAGCACAACGCTGCTTGCGCCACCCATGTATATAATTGTGATCAATACCTATATACTATTTATGATTTTCCCTCTATCAAATACGCTGTTGTATTTTTAGATTGAGTGTGTATGTGTTCTAATTAGGGGTCGCAATTGGATAGGTCGGGTCGGGTCAAGGGTCTGACCTGTTGACCTATGGGTCAAGAAAACACTGACCCAATTCGACCTGTTCAACCCGATGGGTCAAAACTCAGGTTGACGGGTCACTACTGATTTTGATTTGGTGACAAAGGAGGTGTCAATCAACCTGAGCTTGAGCACTGGAAGTACAAAACTACATGTATACACAGCTCTCTAAGATGATGGCACGCAAATTCCTAGCAGTGCTAGCAATATCTACGTTTTGTGTGATTATTCTTAGAGGTAAAGGGGTTTGTGCCATAACAAAAGAAATCGTTTGCGCTCACATGCATTAAAGAAAGCATAATGGTTAAATATCGACTTCCTTTAAATGCCCCTAATCCTTTTCCCTTTTCTTTTCATTTCTTCCTTCTTCTTTCATTTCTCTTTTCTTAATTTCTTCTATGTCTTTTGTCAAATCTCGTCTCTCACTGCCACTCTTTATTGTCTATTCTCATTGTACTATTGCTACTTTTTTACTACTATTACATATATTGCTTATAGCTTACTTATCTTACACTTTTGAATATAAAATATGATCCCACAATGAAAGAGAATATAAGTACGTTTTATGTTACAGTTCTATAGCAGACATATTGACAACTACATCCTATAATATAATGATGCTTCCCAACAAGAAGATTGACTACTTGAATACAAGTACCTCATAGATATCATATTTATACACGGGTCACAAGAGGTCAACGGGTTGGGTCAAGGGTTAGACTGGTTGACCTGTGGGTCAGAAAAGCATCAACCCGACCTGTTGACCCGTCCTCAACCTGCGGGTCGGTTTTGACCCACGGGTCAGATTGCAACCCCTAGTCAGTATTATTGGCGCTATGTCAAGCAAAGGCATTATATTGCTTTCAAGGTATGCACCACCAGAAGAATACAAGCAAACGACACCAGAGTCATCTCGTAAACGGAAAAGAACGGCCCATGGTACAACACGCAATCATTATTTGGATTTCATTAACGATTTAGTAGACATTCTGGAGGAGTTGGGCTTTCGAAACATGTGCCTAGTTATAGACAATGCAAGGATCCACAAGTGGGACAAGATCGAAGAAGCAATCAAAAGAGGTGGCCATCGCATAATTTTTGTCCCTATATATTTACCATTTTACCATTTTTAAATCCCATCAAAGAATGCTGGTCAAAGATCAAGGGCCATGTTACAAAAAAACCGCTGAGAACTGAAGATGACCTTATTGGACGAATCGAAAAAGCAGCATTTACAGTGACCGAAACTGATTGCCAACACTGAGTCGATCACTCGCAATCCTACTTTCCTGCATGCCTAGCAAAGCAGCCTATTATATAGGTATAGCCCTGATTTTAGCTCTCTTCCTTTTACTACTTTTACTGTAATACCAATACATTTCACCCTCTAGATTATATAAAACACGTTTTGGAACAGTATAATTATGTCGTTAGAAACAATAGTGTAGCTAGACATGGACATTGGTTACAGTAAATCATGT